TGGGCCCTGCTCCCTGCCCTCCTGGGCAGCCAGGGCAGCAAGGACGGCACCAAGGGAGCTGCCCCATGGACAGGGTCCCACAGACACAGCACCGAGCCTCGCAGGGTAAGAGGCCCATGGCCCTGCAGGCAGGTGGAAAGGACTTGCCAGGAGGTTCAGAAGAGAGAGAGAGATTGGAAGAGTCTGGTCAAGAAGCAAGAGGAGGAGGAGGAGGGCAAGACAAGAAAGGAGGAGAGAGATGGATTGGCAGGAGATGCACGCCAGTCTTTTGAAGGAAACTGAAGGAGAAGCAGGAGGAGGGGCTGGGGACACTGCGGAGGAGGAGAGCGTGGAAACGGGGAGAAGCAGGAAACACGTGGAGAGGAAAGAAAGGGAGCAGCGGAGCAGGAAGAGACAGGTGCGGGGCGGGCGGGGGGCGGGGGTGAAGAGCGGAGCCCAGGAAGGGTCAGAATGTGGGCAGGCCCTCCCCAGCGCGCGAGCGCCCCCTGCGAGGAGGGGGCGACACTGCTTTCCTCGGCGGGCAGAACGGGCCGCGGCGGCTGGAAGACTGGCCACTCCACCTTCCGTTCATTCACCAATGGACGAACCTGTCCTGCCTTTCAGGGTGACAGACAGAGGCTTGGGGGAGGAAGCAACCACACCCTGTCAGCTGCCCATGCCCACTGGCCTGTCACTTTCCTCCGCACTGGCCCGGGAGGGTGGGATTTCTTTTCTGCAGAGAATGTGGGGCAGCAGAACCGGGCAGTGGGAGACAGAGGCAAGCAGTCCTTGGCCCCACGCGTGGTCTAACTCAGAGACCCTCTCAGAGCACGACCCACGGTCACATGCTTGGTCAGCTATAAGCACCAAAGGGAGTGAGTGCCAGCAGGCACCGGGGGCCACCTGGTGGAGGACAGCTGGTGAGGGGAGCACCCCCACCCCAGGACTGCTCTGAGGTGCAAGGCTGGAGGCCAGGGAGAGGGTGCCACGTCAGGGAGGAAGCTGGGTGGGGCCAGTCAGGATCAGGGGGAGGAGGGAGGAGCCGGATGGAACCACTCCTTCCCTGGGCAGTCCTCCCCCTCCCCACTCCAGCAGAGCCCCACCCTTCTAGTCCATTCACCCCCACTCTGTCCCCCGCGAGGAGGCCGGCCAGTGGGGAGCATCTCCCGGGCAGAGGGACAGTGTGTGGGGGATGGTGGAGACCAGGATTGGACAGTGGAAGGAAAAATATAACAGGAGAGCAGATCCAGAGGTTAGGAAGACTCTAGGGGGCATGAAGGAGGGCAGCAGGCTTTTCTGGGACAAAAGGCTGGGCTTGTGCTCTCTGAGGAGCTACTGTGTGGTTGTAGGAAACGGACCGAGATCTGGCAGGGGAAGCCTCTTCGCAGGGGACTCCCTTGGTAGGTGTTCAATAAATGCTATGAATGAATGACCAACTCCCCACCACCACCCCTCCCCCCCCCACAGACACGATGTTCTAGCTAAGGTTTTCCCCTTAGCAGCTGCCCCTCCGAAGTATGTGCATCCCTGCCCACCCCACGTCAACCCACCTGGGCACGTTACTGCCAGCTCTCTACCTGGACCAGCTGGAGGAAGGGATTCCTTCCTCTGCAGGCTGGCCGGCCAGAGGCCCAGGAAGGCAGAGCGGGGTCTGTGCTCCCCACTCTGCCTCCTCTGCCTCCAAACATCCTCAGCGTCTTACTCTCAGCCTCCACACCTGGGGCAGTCCTAGGGGCTTTCAGGCACAAATAAGCAACCAAGAGGTTTAACTCCCACAGAGATGTAACTCCGGCTACAGAATATTTATTGCGCACCTCTAATGGGCCAGCCACTATGGAAGGCTCTGGGAATACCAAGGCCAATGAGACAGCTTCCCAGCTAGCAGGAGAGCCTCATTTCATGGATAATGACACAATGATAGCAGTTAGGTAGCAGCGCGGAGAGTGTCGGGAAGCCAAATGCACGGTGCTGAGTGTCAGCACGAAGGCAGGGAGAGGGGCATGGGCAGTTCCTCCAGTGGGAAGCCTGAGCGATGAGGGGAAGCTGGCTTTACACTGAGCGGGGTGTCAGGAAAGGGCCTTCCGGGGGAAGGAATCGTTTGGGGAACTCCCGGAGGTAGTGAGGAGCCTGGCGCTTCTGAGGACCCGCGGGGCAGAGAAGGAAGAGGGGCTGCTGTGGAGGATGGTCCCACCTTCAGCTCAGACACCAGGTTCTGGAGGAAGGAATGGGGTGGGATAGGGCCTGTGATGGGGAGGGGCAGGTCTCCTGGTGCCCATGGTCTTCAGCTTTTGGCCCCGGCCCTCTCTCTTCTCTTTCCAGAGCTGCTGGCTGCCAAGAAGACCCACACCTGTGAGTAGCGGGTTGGGGCGGCATCTGTGCTGGGTGTGGAATGATGGCTGGAGCTCGGCGGGGCCGGGGGGGGGGGGTGCTCCAGAGAGGAAGCCGGGAGCTGGCCCAGGCAGAGGCAGCGCCTAGGGTAAGAGGGGAGATGGGGAGCCTGGCAGGGGGAGGGGTGAAGAAACCTCAAGAGCAGGGTGACGGGAGATCAGGGGGAAGCCTGCGGAGAGGGAGCACGGCAGATCCGAGGAGAGTGATTATAAAAGGGATCCGTGGGAGACGGAGAGGAGGGGTGCTGGACAGAGGCACAGGAACCAGCCGGGGGAAGGAGGGAGAGGGAGGCAGGGGCATCCTCAGGGACTGGGAGCCTGCGCCACCATGTTTGGTTTTCCTCTCGGTGGTTAACACGTCCTGAGGTGTGAACAAGCCAGGCTGTGCAGAGCTGGAGAGCAGGAAAGCCTTCACCTCTGTAGGAAACATGACACACAGGGACACTCTGGGCCATGAAAGACTGAGGCTACAGCATGTGGGAAGGGGGCTAGAGCTCAGGAAGGACTTCCCAATGGATACTGGCAAGTAACTATCCTCTCTAGGGACCTCTCAGCACAGCAGATCTACCCCCCCCCCCAGTTTGTGGGAGAGGCTACTCCCCCAGAAAATGCACCCACTCCACCTCAGTCCCAAACCTTATATCCCATCAGGGCCATGCACGCCCTTAGCAGCCTTAGGGTACTCTGGGGGGAAAGCCTCCCTAAGCATATGTCCCCAAATTAACGAGGACTGCTCTGGGGCAAGAGAGACCACCTGCGTTTCTCCATGGCCCTCCCTTGGATTACCTACCAGTTCCTCCCGAGAGCTCGCTGACCCTGCTCTGGCTTCCAAGATCGCCTAGAGCCTCCCTGTTCCAGGCAGAGAAATCTCAGAGGCAACAGCATCCCCTGGTCCCTGAGCTGGGCAGACAGGGGCTGGGGGGCCATCCAGGATGCTACAGCCTCCTGGGTGGGGGGTTGCTTTGCTCAGCACAATCCTGATCGGTGCCTCGCCTGCCCCTAGCCACAGGGCCCCACGGAAATGCTGAGCAGGGCCCTGGGAGGAAAGCAGGTCAAGGAGTGACGTGCTCGTGCGCTGGGGGGATGGGAGCCAGGGACTATATGTGGGTGGGGAGGGAGAAGGGGGACTTTCGGAGCAGCTGGAACTGGAAGAAGCTATGCTCCATTCCTAACTTAACCTCTTACCACAGAAACCTTGGCCAGGACCACGCCCCCTTCCCCCTTCCCAGCCCACTGGTCCTGTGCAGCCATGCCCCCACCCCCACCCCAGAGTGTCCTATGAGAAGCCAGGGTGACGGCCCCTCCCCCAAGCCACTGCCCAGGTCCTGAGAGCCAGAGGAAGGCCAGCAGGGAAAGGCCTGTACCAGGCTGAGGAGCTACTAGAGACCTGGCAAGATCAGAGACCTCTTGGGAAGTTTGGTGCAGAGAATCCAGGAGAGATTAATGACTCCCCCAGGCTGGGAGGCTCAGAAAAATAGATTCCAAATTGAGACAACCCCAAGGAGGGGGTCCAAGACAACCCGAGAAGGGAGGAGCCCCGGAGGGACCCCCAGACCAAGAGAGGGCCGAGCTACTGAAGGGCCCTGAAGAGGGAATCCCCAGGCTGAGGTACACCACAGAGCAGATATGAGGCTGAGAGAGCCCCTCGGAAGGACTCCCAGGCCAAGAAACTCTAGACTCACATGCCAGGAGACCTCCCAAGCTGAGACACCCTCAAGAGCAGACTTGAACCAGAGAAACCCTCCCATTCCTCAAGTGGGATTTGGGGCCAAACTGCCTGAGTTTGAATCCTGACCCCACCACTTACTAGCTGTGTGACCTTGGGCAAGTTACTTAACCTCTCATTTTCTTCATCTTCAAAATGGGGATAATGGTACCTACCTCATAAAGTATTTTGTGAGTATTAGATAAACCATATAAAACCTTAAGAAGTGTTTCTGGCACAAAGTAAACATTATTATTATTATTACCATCACCATCATCATCATTATCATTATTTGCATTCCAATTTCAGTTTTGCTCTTGAGGAAATTTCTGACAGACTAACATTTCCTGCAGATAGCGGGTATTTGTCTGATGATTATTGCTGCTGCAATTATCATTTATTCCCTAGCCCAGGGCATACACCACATCTGTGGGAGGGCATGAGCATGGTGGGTGGTGGGGCAGCCTCCCAGACTGCACCCCAGTGGGCGGCTGTTGGCAGTCCACAGGGTGTCAGGTGGCACAAGCCACTGCCCCCAGGCAGACATCCTGTGACTTACCTCTAGAAACATCCCTGTCCCTGGAGTCATCGGGCAGAGAGTCAGGCTCGGGTCCTCAGTGGGAGGGGGAGTAGGGACCTGGCTGGACTCCTGTGAGCTCCATTCTGGTTCCCCAGCCAGAACTACCCTGGCGGGTGGAAACAGCTTTTACCGCGTGTGGCTGTCGCATGTGGTTTTGGAATTTTCCAACGCCCCCTGCAATTGGCTGCCCCGCCCCTCACACCCTGCCCCAGGCCCAGATTGGCCACATGGGGCGCCTGTCATCCTACTCGCTGCACCCCAGAGGGGGTGGGGATGCAGTGGGGGGGGGGTTGTCACTCGGCCACCTGTGTGGTGGTGGCTTAAACCCCCCTGGCCCAGAAGAATTGGGAGAGAGCTAGGTGCAGAGCTGCGGGCTGAGGCTCTGCAGAAAGGGCCTCATCCCCAACCCAGCTGCCAACTCTGCCCCATCCCTGGACCACCCCCTGCTGAGGACAGAGCTAAGGCGGCAAAGCCCAAGGCTCAGTCATGAGAAGTAAGTGAATGGGGCCACCTGGGAGTGGGGAAGCCTGGATGCCATCATCATCCCTGGGCCTCTGGAACAGAGGGGTGTCTTGGGAACAGTGTGAGCAAAGCTGAGTGCTCTTTCTTGCCAGCAGCGTGTGTCCCAGTCAAGGCCAAGGTCTTTGGGGAGCAGGGTGGAGTAGCTGAGGAGTCTTGCTCCCCAGGCAATTTTCTTAGAGTAGGGTAACACAGTGGGCTGTAGAGGAGCGCCTCTGTCGCGAGCCCTGGAAAGGATCTGCAGGAGTGTCTGAGGTGCTCTGCTCCTCGTTTAACAAGAAAGGACTGAGCCCCAGCAAGGCCAGGGCTTTGCTCCAGATCCCACTGCTGCAGCAGAGGGAGGCTGCTAACTGACAGGCACCGACCAGACTCCCACTGCGGCGTTTCCCTCCATGCCTCCAACCTGCCTCCCAGTGGGGTGAAAGAGGAGCCAGAGGGCCAGAGGGGTTGCTGTGCCCCGAAGCAGCAGGACAGGAAGAGGAAAGCCAGATCGGCAGGTAGAGAGGGTCAGAACCCCGTATCCAGGTCTCAGTGTGTGTGTGTGTGTCCCCAGTTTCAGTCACCCATTTGATGAGGGGGATAGGGCAGAGGAGATGGGAGCAGAAAGCCTTCAGCTTCACCCCCTTCCTGGCGTGGAGCCAAGGGCCAACAGCTAGTGGGCAGATGTCTGGGGTCCCTGTGCCTTCTAGCAGAGAAAGGATGGGTAAATCAGACAATCCCTGTGTTCAGGTAAGGAAAGCTAGAGAACCTCTCGGAGCAGCGGGCAAATGAGCAAAAGGGAAACCCCATGTCCCTGTGGCCTGAGGCCTGAGGCAGCCCGACCCTCAACCTGGGGTCTTCCCACAAACCACAGAGGGGAGGCCATATTGGGTCCTGGAAAGACCCACGGGCTGAGAGTCTAAAGACCAGGTTCTGGTGCCAACTCTGTCACTGACTAGCCACGTAGCCTTAGGCAAGTCATTGGGCCCTGGTCTCCTCATCAGCAAAATGAGAGAGCCGAACTTAAAAACAAAACCAACTTTGGAGAGGCTCCCAGTTCTGAGGACCCAGGACCAAGGAGAGAGCCCTGGTCCCCAAGGTGAGCACCCTCAAGGCTAGTGAAGGCGTCTCAACTCTCCCAGGACATAGACGGAGAGGAGGTCATAGGAAAGGAAGAACTTGGGACAGACATCCCAGTGCAGATGTATGAGCTGGGGTGGGTCAGGTGGGGCGAGGAAAAGAGCCAAAAACTTCCACAGGAAGAGGGGCCCTTTGGAGCTTTCATTTCTTTCTAGCTTCTTCCGATTAGCAGCAAAGGTTAGCAAACCGATCTTCCCAGAAATGGCCCCCAGTCAGCAAATCCACCCTAGCAAGCAAGGATCAGGAGTGCCTCAGAGCTCGGCAGGAGAGCAGGAGTCCCCAGGACTGAGGGAGGGAGCTTCTAGGCAGCTCTACATGATTTTCTCCCAACAGCTCCATCCAGGCTGGTAGATAGGAGAGGGGGTCCCCTCTGATCTGAGGGTGAATGCCACCCATCCTGCTCACTTGGACATCTCTGGGTATCTCACAACCCCAGGTTATCTGACTGACTGCCTCCCCTCCACACACACACCTAGTGAGTGCCAGCCACCTCCACACCCTCTGACCATAGCCAGAGGGAGGCAGCACATGGGGGGCTGGGGACTGTGACACAACCAGAGCCCAAGGGGTAGACACAGACCAGGAAATAAAGAGAGGTGCGGAGGCCAACGATGTCCTGATGGAGCTATAAATGGAGAAATACCAGGAAATACCACCCAAACATCGAGGTGTGAAACCCGAGACAGAGCTGGAGCACAGAAGATAGAAAGGCACACAGACACAGCGAGAGATGCAGAGGGAGGAGGGCGGGCAGCAGAGGGGAGACGCCGAGTCCGGACTGGGGCTAGGAAGACAGAGAGAGGGAGGCATGGAGTCCATGGAGGTTCTGAAAGGATGGCAGAGCTCCCTGCCAGGGCCACCGGCTGCTAAGTAAAGAAGAAATGTCCATTAGCCAAACAGACTCCCCAGCCAGCCAGAGAGATGGTGGCCCTAGTCATCTCTCTCTGAGGACATGGCCAGTGTGGAGCCAAGAGGCATGAGGCCCCAGCACTGGGTATGGATGGCGAGCGGGTTGGGGGGGGGGGGGGCAGGTGCAAGGTCACGTGTCTGTCTTTGCTGTGCCCTGATCTTTCCAAGCCTGGTCATGATAATGGCGAGCAGTGGGCCTGAAAGAAGTCCAGGTCCCCAGGCAGGGTGCCACAGCTCTTATCCTGAGAGCCCATGGCCACCTGAAGACTTTACAAAGGGCCTCCTCCTTCTCTGTATCACCCCTGACCCTTTGCCTCTTCCTCTCTTCCATTCCTAACAGGAATCCCGAACACCCTCAGCCCAAGGTACTAGAGAAGCTGGAACATCCCAGCCTGTCCCGTACAGTGAAGCATGGCTGTCGGTGTCCCCACCCGTCCCAGGGGCTCCCTCCCCTCCCCTGCCTCTGTGCCCCTGACTCAAACAGGGAACAGGGACTTTCCCATGCTAAGAGGCCTCTAAGGAAGGCAGCCCCTGGGGTCTCCTCTTGTCCTCCATGGCTACTCCTTTCTGAGATCTAACCTCTACTCCTCCTGCTACTGCAGTGCTGTCCTGGGCCTCTGGCCAGATGGGGCTGTCTCTTTGGGGAAGGGACGGGAACAGGACAGGGCCTCGGCACCAGAGCCAGAGTGTCCCTGGGTCCCGTGTGTCCTGGAACAGCAGAGCCCTGTGGAAGGGAGGCACAACCCTGGAGGCCGGGAGGCCGCTGACTGTGACTTGGGGCTCCCACTCCTCAGAGCTTCCTCCTGGTGATTCATCCCCTCCTCCCCATTCACTGGTTGTTTTCACTCAATTCTTTTGTTTCCCCTCCTTTCTCCTGTCCCAGACTGCGGGGGTGGGGGGTGGCGGGGGCACCAGGAGGGGTTTCAGGTGGCTGGCTGTCTTTCGTGGCTTTTCAGAACCCCAGACTCTCCCTCGCCCACCTGAGTTTTAGCTTCACTACTTTCTCAGCCCTGGGATCTGGATGTATCAGCAGAAAATCCTCGCCCTGGCTTGGGAGTAGTGTTCAGCAGGTAGAGCGGCTTCTCTCCTGGCCCCCCACCGACCCTCCCCCTCCGGCTCCCCTGTGGTGGCACCCACCACCGTGGTTTCCAGCTTTGCAGAAGCTGTGGGAAGGAGAGCTGAGAAAGGAGGGACCCCTGGCCCGAGCTGTGGTCTCCGTGCCGGTGGGGGTTGGGGGAAGCTAAGCTAAGAAAAGAGATGCATTCCTCTTTCCCATTCACTCATTCATCTCTGCAGAGGCCTACTAGGATGTATGAAAGCCAGTCCACAACCCCAAAGGAGCTCTGTTGGGTCAGGCGAGCTGTTCCACCCCGGCCTTGGAAGCCTGCCCTAAGACATGAGGAAAGGCTGGAGGAGGTGGGCACCACAGAGGAAAAGCTGAGGCAGAGGGAACCATGCCTCTCTGGGTCGTTACACTAGACATGAGTTCCACAGGGGGTCCTCTCTGAATTCTGTTCCCAGCCCACCTCCACACTTCACGCTTTTCCCCTGCAGCCAGTAACCTTGTCCCCTATTCCATTTCCTCGATGCATCTGGGCATCTCATCCTTACAGGGGGTATAGCTTAACGGTTGGGGACATGGGCTCTCGAGTTACAGACACCTGGGTTCAAATGCCAGATATGCCACTTTGGACTGTGTAACCTTAGTCAAGCCACTTAGGCCCTCCTGGACCACTTTCTCATCTGTAAAACGGGGACAACGCAAGGAATGCCTGCTTCCCGGGGTTGTCGTAATCATTAATGAAACACATATGCAGAGCCTGGCACAGAGTAAGAATTCAGCCCAGGCTTGTGTCTGTCATTACTATCTCCCCTTAATCACTGTCCACTGGAGAAAAGGAGAGAGAGGGAGAAGAGAAGAACGGCGCAGCTGGAGACTGCTTTGTCAGAAGATAAGGACCCCACGGCTCCTCTGCATCCACTCCCCAGCAGGGCTAGGGGAGGTTCTGGGGTTTGAGGGGAGAGATCCCCCTGGGTTAGAGCCCCTCCTTTGCTCCTACCACTTCCTCTCTGTGGCATGGGGCACCTGGACAAGGCCCAGGGCTGGCTTCCTAAGGTGGCCCAAGGCCAGGCTCTGGCTGCATTCCGAGAGCGCTATCAATGAATCTCACAGCTGCGGGAAGGGTGAGATTAGAGGGGTTGGAGGGAGGGGAAGACAGACCACCTTGTCGCTACCGGATTTCCCCACAGAGGAGGTGTGCATAACAAGCTCCCTGGGGATACTTCGGTCTCTGAAGCAATCCAGAAGAGATTCATTTTCTTTCTCCTGTACTGTGCCAGAGAGCAGCTCTAGAGGTCTCCCAGGCTGAGGAGAAGACACAAGAATGAGCTGGGGGAAAAGATGGCCAACCCCACCCTCATCCCCCAGGAGGAGGAGCCTGGCCCGAAAGCCTCCAGAGGGGCTACATTCTTGCTACTCAAAAGTGTAGGCTGAGGACCAGCAAGCGTGGGCACCCACCAGAGCTTGTCCAATTGCAGAATCTGGGCCCCCAGACCCAAGTAGGGACCTGTTCACAACATGGTCACAAGATCCCTCGGTGATCTTGTTTGAAACGCCAAGGGCTAGAGTCACACAGTCGCTAGACGGTTTCAGGAGCTTTCATGAGCAAGTAGGCCCTTCTGTCTCCTGGGAGCGAGAGGGTTTCCTTTGATGGGCCCTGGGAGAGAGCAGCAGTGAGGTACAAAGTTCTTCCCGAAGCAGCGGGGGCCGCAGGGGCTGGCCTAGACGGGCCTGACCTTTGCTTGGTTCGAGTTCCTGGCACCGGCAGGCCCTTAGATGGTAAGTTCCTGGCAGGCCAGGCTCCAGTGCAACAGTTTGAGTAATCCCGTGATTACTCAGCTCCCCATCCCCAACCTGAGTTCCCATCACCTGCTGCTTCAGGCAGGGGCTCAGGGGTAGGTTGTGAAGGTGAGGGATCCGAGGTGTTTTTCAGCTCCTGCTCGCCCCACTGCCACCTCTGCCAGACCTTCCCGTCCTCTCCCCTCCCCGCCTCCACAAGTCACACTCACGCGCACCGGGACTTTCTCTTTGAGGTTTCGGGCAGATGGCACTGAAAGGGGTACAGGTGGCAGGGGAAGGAGGGAGCAGTGGGAGCAGAGGGCCTGATGGTACAGGCAGGGCCAGGGGCAGGGCACTGGGGCCAGGACATCACGGTGGGTTTTTCTGTGTTTCTGCACCTGTTTCTCCATCTCAGGCTCTAAGTCTCTGGTGTCGGCCAGTCCCAAGCCTCTTGGTCTCTCTAGCTCAGAGGCTAGAGTCTGGCCCCCCCAGCTCAGAACCCCTGACTCCGTGTTCCTGCCTCACTGTGTACCTCTGTCTTGGGAGCCTATGGTTGGGGAACCCTGAAGAGTGGCTGGCCTGGTGGCTGGGGTCCAGATTCCAGCGTCCCCTCAGGCAGGGGGGGACCCCCTCACTTGCCAGCATCTGTGAAGGGGGTCCATGGCTGGCCACACCATCCCATGAGAAGAGCAAGGTCTGGGTTACAGCATTGTGAGGTTCCTGGGGCCGGGACCAGCAGTGGGTCAGGTGTGGGGCAGGGAGAGATGTGTCTGGGTCACCTGTGTGGTTGGCGCACACACGCACCCGGATGTGGCTCTGGGAGAAGGGAAGAGACAGGGAGGCCTGTGGTTGACTGCTGGGCTGGAGTCCGAGTTCCCACTGTGGCTTGGCCTAATCTCCCCTCTGCTTACTTTTTTGGGTGACCCATGTTGGTTTCTCCCCTCTCTGGGCTGAGGGCCACTGTGGAGAGAGACCCACGCTGCCGGAGGGGAAGGTGTCGAGGCGAGCGCAGACTCTCTGGGCACAAGGCTTCTGCTGGGCCTCAGGTGCCCCCTGCGTTTCTTCGCCTTCAGCTCTGCTCTGTGGCAACAGTGTATGTAGAGTTTGCCTCTTAGACAGAGTGCTTTCCACAGGTTATACCATCACGCCTACCGTCCTAGCTACAATCATCCCATGGACAAGCAATGTTCTTTTTTATCCTGGTTTCACTGACAAGGGAACCTAGGCCTAGAGAATCTAAGTGACTCGACATTCAGGTGCCTCCACATTTTCTGTCCCTTTTCCAGCTACCCATCCTCTCTTATTCTCTCTTCCCTTCCATGCATTCCAATATGCTCTTAATTTACTGGAAAGAATCTGAAAGGCTCACTTGCCATCTGTCCCCCACAATCACAGACTCCTATGTGGGTGTTGGGCAGGCAAGTGGGGGCTGGGGTGGGGGAGAGGAGTGACTTCTCATGGAGGAATTTCAGACACCTATGGGCCTGTCCCCCATGAGGAGGCAGCTGCTTACTCTGACTCAGCTCAAAGCTGGCTTGAGGGGACAATGGTTTTAAGACAAGGGAAACAAAATGTCAGGGGGTGGTGGGCAAGCCACAGTTCCCCTCCCCACCTCATGTCAGGAGGCCCTACGCATGACCGGGGTCCAGGCCTGGGCCAGGGGTAAGCTCACCGGAACACAAGTTTGCCCTACAGGCAAGCTGCTGCCTTCACTGACCCTCAGGGTGGGACACAGTTAGGGGACCGGTCAGAGATGAGCTGGGGCTGGGGTGTAGATCACTTTTCTGGCCTGCTCCGCCTCAGCCCCCCCCGCTCAAAGGGGAAGCAGCAGGGCACCAATGCCAGAGAAGAGAGCCCTGTCCCCTTGGGATGGATGAAAACCCCTGACATAGTGGGAATCCCAACTCCCCTTCAAAGATGAGCTGGGAGAAGGCCAACTGCTGGTCCCTGAAACTCAGTAGAGAGCTGTGGGCATTGACAGGGACAGGGCAAAGTAGAGGAGAAGAATCTGGAGCCCCAAAAGGCCACGCTGAGCTCAGTGGGCAGCCGGGGGTCCTACTGGCCAACAAACAAACACTAACACACAGACAGACAGGTGCGCCTGCCGGCTCACAAGTACCTGTACCTTCCGTGTGTACACACGCCCTCAAACATGCCCACCAATGGATGGGCCCCAAAAGCCAGGTACACAGAGAAGCACCAGGGAAAGCAGGGGAGCTAGGGTGTAGACCCAGCTCTGGGGCAACTGAGCTGCGTGAACCTGGGCCAACCACCTCATCTGGTCTAGCCCTCCACCTGGTAAAGGAGAGGACAGGACAAAGGTTGAATGAGATGGTCTCTAGTCCCAGTCGGAGGTAACATTCATCATCAGCGCACATACGATTGGGCCCATCAACAGAGGCCCTCTCATGTGCTGCCCACTCTCTGTTCCAGGGCCTGGGGCCTCGGCGCCCTGTTTGATTCTCGCCCTGGATTGCCAGCATCTGACTGACCTGGCTTGTTGAGCCCTCTCCCGGGCTCCACCTCGCTCCTCCTTGCCTTCTCTGGGCCCCACGCCGGGGACACTGTCCTCTTGGCCCCTGGTCGCTGCCCAGCCCGTCCCTGAGCCTTCACTGCCAGGCTGAGGATGACCGGCATCTCTACCTGGCCCCCAGGTGCCCCCTGCCTTGGTGCACCACATCTCCTCCCCCCACCACCCATGCCTCACACTCTGCCCACGGGAGCAAAGCCTGGTGGGGGAGGGTGGCCTAGAGGAAGCCCCCTGCGCGGGAAGCAGGTGTTGTGAAGCAGCGAGAACTCCTAGGTCCTCAGGCGGGAGGGGGGCAACTGGAGCTTTTCAACTTGAAGGGCTGAGCAGGTGGCCTCTCTGCAGCTGCATCTTCTGCCCCTGTGGAGCTGGTACAGCTCCTGGCTGCCCCGTGAAACCGAAAACGGCCTCCCCAGACCCTTTGTTGAGCAGCATTTGGCACTGCACTTCTTCCATTTTGCAAGAGGCAGAGAGCAAGCTGGAGCAGGGTGGAGAAGCGCCGTGTCCCTGTGTCTGCAGCCCAGGGACGTGGGGAAGGAGGCAGAGCAGGTCCCTGGGCTCACCTCCTGTTCTTTCTTTCTCTCCTCCAGCACAAATTGAAGTGATTCCTTGCAAAATCTGTGGGGACAAGTCATCTGGGATCCACTACGGGGTTATCACCTGTGAGGGGTGCAAGGTGAGCATGCGCACACGTGCACACTCACACACAGAGTCTCTTCCAGGGTGGGGAGAAGGGGCTCTGTGGCCTTAGTCCTGACTCCTGGCATGGTCTCCTGAGGCAGCTAGGGAGCTGCTGGAGAGGTGCCTTACACAGGAGGGCCTTGTCTGAATCTGGGGACACGACTGTGTGGCAGATTATAATTCTGCTAAGAAAGGGAGGCGAGAAAAGGGACTGGTCATGCGTGGGGTCTGGGCAAGCAGGGGCCAGAGCCTGGGCTGGAAGCCCCGGGAGCGAGCTGGGCCTGGCAGGGATTGGCAGCCAAGGTCCCCGTCTGCCTGCCCCAGGGCTTCTTCCGGCGCAGCCAGCAGTGTCACGTGGTCTACTCCTGCACCCGCCAGCAGAACTGCCCCATCGACCGCGCCAGCCGAAACCGATGCCAGCACTGTCGCCTGCAGAAATGCCTGGCACTGGGCATGTCCCGAGATGGTGAGGCCAAGCAGGTGGCCCCCTGGGGTTTCCCTGGAGTCTCCAAAGAGGTTACCCTGTAGACGCGTCCTTCCGTGGGGCACGGGCCGGCCACGCACCTCACCAAAGCTCTTCGTGGTCCGCAACTGTAGGCTCTGCTAGAACAGCCCTCCCTTCCCCAATACCCCAGGCTCCTCATTTTCTTCTTCCTGGGATAGAAGAACTGGCCCAGTTACCGTCCAGCTTCCACATCCGCCGTCCTGCCCCTAGCTCCATCTCCCCGGTCCCCCGTCCCCATGCTAGGACACAGGACAGTGGCTAGGACCGCAGCCAGAGCCAGCCCGAGAGCCACCTGGAAGGCACGAGGGTGGGGAGGGCGGCTGTTCCCGGTGCCTTTCTCCTCGGTCCTCGCCCACCGCCTCAGCGCAGCCCCCCATCACCACCACAGAGGGAGCGCAGGGCGGGGTTGGGGGAGGCATGAGGTGAGGAGGAGCCAGAAAGAGCCTGTCAGCACTTTTCAGCGCCCAAAATAACAAAGTGAAAGGAAACACGCAGGGGTGCAAAGGGGCAGGCGGGGCGAGGGGCTGTGCCCCCACACCTGGGAGGGGTGTGGGGGGGAGTGAAAAGGCAGGAAAGAGAGAGCAGAAGAGGATGTTCAGAAACAAGCCGCGGAGCCTGGGTTGGGCTGTGGTGAGTATCTAGGTCACCAGCGAGCCTGCAGGCCTGACCACAGGGAGACCTGTGTTCTCAGCTCTCCTCTTCCTCCGACCCTCCTAGACAGGCGAGGTGACCCCAATACAGCTTAAGGCCCCCAACTCGACCACCCCCAGCCCTAACATCAGGAGGCCAGAGTCCTCAGTCCAGACTGACTGCTTGAATTCGGCTACCAGCAGAAGCTGGTTTCCAGCTGGGAGAGTTTGCTTGGGAGACCGAAATGCCTGGGCTGGACGCAGCCCTGCGGCAAACACCAGCAAGCGGTGGGAGGGGTCTCGAACAAAAGTGGGGGTCCCCCCGGGGAGGTCCTTAGGCCACACTGGAGAAGCTTTGCTTGGAGCCAGCTACTGAGGGAACAGCAAGTGAATTCTGTAATGATCAAAATGCCTGTCGAGGCTGCCCTTGTACCTCGTGCTCCTGCCTCGAAAACTCCTGATCCCCTACCTCTTTCAGCTGTCAAGTTTGGCCGCATGTCCAAGAAGCAGCGGGACAGCCTGCACGCCGAGGTGCAGAAACAGCTGCAGCGGCAGCAACAGCAGCAGCGGGGACAGGTGGCCAAGACCCCTCCAGCGGGCGGCCAGGGAGCCGACCCCCTCTCGGGCCCCATCGGGCTCCCGGACGGGCAGCTGCCCCTGGGCTCCTCACCTGACCTGCCTGAGGCCGCGGCCTGCCCCCCTGGCCTCCTGAGAGCCCCAGGCTCCGGGTCCTCCTACCCCAGCAGCTTGGCCAAGGCCAGGCCCGACGGGGCCTCGTACCACGCGGAATACAGCCCCGAGCGGGGCAAGGCCGGGGCCAGCGAGTGCTTCTACAGCACTGGCAGCCAGCTGAGCCCCCACACATGTGGACTTCGTTTTGAGGACGCCGGGCATCCTGGGCTCGAGGAGCCAGGACGGGGCCCGGACAGCTACTGCAGTGCCAGTTTCCACAGCGCCCCGGAGGTGCCCTATGCCTCCCTGACGGAGACTGGTGAGTGGCGGGGGGAGGAGGGATGATGAGGGAGGGGCTTCCAAGAGAGGGGCCTTGGTCAGCACCCCATGTACACCACACGTGAGCCCAAGGGAGTGGAGGGGCCGAGGAGGGGAGCTAGCGCAGGGCAGGGGAGGCCGGGCCAAGGAGTGCCCTTTGTATGGTATGGGGTAGGGTGGCAGTTGGCTGAGATGGAGCCTGTGCCTTCCCCCTCTGGCCCCAGAGCACCTCGTGCAGAACGTTTGTAAGTCCTACCGAGAGACGTGTCAGCTGCGGCTGGAGGACCTGCTACGGCAGCGCCCCAACATCTTCTCCCGGGAGGAGGTGGCCGGCTACCAGAGGAAGGTGAGGCCCAGAGACCCCATGGGAGGGGGTGGCAGGGGAGGGAGTGCGCACGCAAGTGGGCTGGGGCGAGGCGGGGCGGCACAGACAGACTGAGCGTGTGCGAGCTTGTGAGTCTGTGTATGTGTGTCTACCCCCAGCAGATGGGTGATAGCTTTTCCTTTTCCCCTGCCTATTGCCTTCATCCTACCTCTGCCAGCACCCACACCTTGGTGTGTACACTCTCCTTTGCCGTCCCCTCTCAATGATAGCAGTAGTCAGAACCCTGATTACCATTTGTTAAACACCCCTTTGCTACCGGGCACTGTGCTAAATGCTTCCCATAAATGATCCTCCGCCCTTGCGACAGCGACCCATGAGGTTGGTATTTATTTCTGTTCTTAACAGCCTGGGAAACTGAGCTCAGAGAAGTTAACAGACCTACTCAAGGTCACAAAGTAGTGGGGCCACAGGAACATTCAGACCCACCAGCCTCCAAAGTTTATGCTCTTTCCTGTCACACTCTTGACAATACCACCTGTTCTAAAAACACACGTTTGGCACTGAAGTTTTGCTTCTCTACATTCTTAAGACCTTTGGGCAGGTCTTTTTGGGGAGAGGGGTCAGTATGTGCTTCTCACCTCAACAAAATGCAAACTCTTTGAGGGCAAAGCTGTATCTCAGATGTTTTTTATTTCCCGACAGCTAACTCAGTGCCAACGGCTGGTGGGTGCTCAGTGAGTGCAACCAAATGACAGGAGTTCACCCCGAGTGGGCATCTGTGCTGAGAATAGGCTAAAAACACCAGAGTGGAGAGTGTGGGCGTTCTGAACCTCATGCCTGCAGTTTATCAGTCTGGGCTCCCAGGGGCTTGGGAGGGTGACGGGGTCATAAACAGGGCTACAGTGGGACCCTCCTCCTTCCTTACAGTCCATGTGGGAGATGTGGGAACGCTGTGCCCACCGCCTCACCGAGGCCATTCAGTACGTGGTGGAGTTCGCTAAGAGGCTCTCAGGCTTTATGGAGCTCTGCCAGAATGACCAGATTGTGCTTCTCAAAGCAGGTGCCCTGGGAGGGTGGGCAGGCCTGGAGGGAGGGGGGCAGAGCATGCAATGGGGCAGGGCTAGCGGAGGGAGGCGGCTTAGGGAAAGCAGAACACTGAGGGGGACAGAGCCAGCTCCCTGGCTCTGCCTGACTCTCGCCTGCATGCCCCCCCTCCTTCTCCCCAGGAGCAATGGAAGTGGTGCTGGTCAGGATGTGCCGGGCCTACAACGCTGACAACCACACGGTCTTTTTCGAAGGCAAATACGGTGGCATGGAGCTGTTCCGAGCCTTGGGTGAGGGGCAGGGGGAAATGAGAGACAGGAGTTGGATGGAAAGTCCATCTAAAGCTTCAAGACCCAGGCACCCCCTTTTAAAGGGCAGATCACCCCCTCTGCTCCAAACACCAAGCGGGTGGGTGTCCTCGGGCACTGTGGCCTCACCCACCTTGCTCATCCTTTGGTTTTCTCTCCCTCAGGCTGCAGTGAGCTCATCAGCTCCATCTTCGACTTCTCCCGCTCCCTGAGCTCCTTGCGCTTTTCTGAGGATGAGATTGCTCTCTACACAGCCCTCGTGCTCATCAATGCCAGTGAGTGTCGTTGGGCTTGCCTAAGGGACATTCAGGTGGCAGGGGAGCGACGGATATTGAAGGGTCTGGACCTTCAAATGTGGTTAAATCTGGGAAATGGCTTTAAAGAGCAGAAAGAAGATTCAGAGGAGCCTCAGAGAGGGAAGCACCCTCCAAGGTGGGGTTGGAGAAGTGGTGGGCTAGGGAGCCGTGAGGATGAGAGGAAGTACACCGCTTCCCAGGGAGAAATCCGTTTGCTCCTGAGTTCTCACGTCAGTGAGTCCAGTGAACCCACACATTGGAATCACCTGGGGAGCTTTAAAAAGTGCTTCTTCCCCGGGCTCCACTCCCAGAGAGTCTGAGGTCATTGAGCTGGGGTACAGCCTCCCGCCGCTGATTGTCATGTGCTTGGGAATCACTGGTCTGCTCGAGCTAGTTTGAAGACTGTGGGCTGTCACAGCAGGACTCTGGATACCCACTTCACTGGGACGGAGCAGGCTGGGCTGAGCCAGGGAATGCTAAGTATTTGGAGAACCTGGAGAAGTGGGTCAAGCTACTAACCTGAGTTTGCCAATCAAGATTATCTGTTGTCTGGCTCTGCCAATGAATAAAGACCTAAACACATCCTTCGAACTAGAAATAAAGACTTAAAAGATGACTTCTGGCTATTTTACGGAGCCAGGGCAAAAGGTGGTTTGTCCGTTGGAGTTAGCCACAGACGACTGCAGAGGCCCTGCTGCTGGCCTCGGAGACTTCACCAAGGCCACCTGCTATCAGGCTCATCCTTGGCCAGGTGACAGGCTCTCTCTCATTTTCCCCATAGTGGAATCCTAGCACGGGATGGGCTATGTGAAATATCAGGGTACCAGGGAGAAGGCTGCTTGGAGTCAGGAGATTGGACGTTCTTTCTTTCTTTTTAAAGATTTTATTTATTTGAAAGAGAGAGAGAGAGAAAGAGAGAGAGAGAAGAAGCAGGGGGAGGGGCAGAGGGAGAGGGAGAAGCAGGCTCCCCGCTGAGCAGGGAGCCCGCTGTGGGGCTCAATCCAGGAACTCTGGGATCAGGACCTGAGCCACCCAGGCACCCCAGGAGATTGAATGTTCTTATCCCTTTCATCTCTCCCCAGTTTTCCTTGTAGACAGCTAGCCAAGCCCCAGACCCCAGAACTTTTCATGATCAGACCAGGACGCACACGCATGTGTGCATGCGCTCAGCCGAGAAGGCCACTATCCAGCACAGATGTCCAACATGATACACCCTTTTGGGGGAAGTTAATGTCCATGTTCTTTCTTGTTCTTGCTATGGCCCCATGCCCTCCTTCAGACCGGCCAGGGCTCCAAGAGAAGAGGAAGGTAGAGCAGCTGCAGCACAACCTGGAGCTGGCTTTTCATCACCATCTCTACAAGACTCACCGCCAAGGCATCCTGGCAAAGGTAGGAGCAGTCCCTGAGGTGGAGGAGTAGAGGAGGTCAGGTCCAGCGCAGAAGCTGGGCCCCCAGGGCTTGCGAGGGCCGGGCTCCAAGGGTACAGAGGAAGAAGTGCTAGAGTGCCATGTGCTAGAGAGCCTGGAGCAGCACGGGAACCAAGGGGATGAGCCGTCACTTCCATGTGCGTACAGATGGAAAGTGAAGAGAACCTGGAATTGGGAGGGATTTCCACCAGGAAATAATTTGGTTTAATATAGCCAACACTCACCCAGCACCGGCTTGTGCAAGGCACCATGGAATGCAAAGATACAGAGAGGCGGTTCTTGCCCTCACCGAGGGCTTTTAGTGTGGTACAAAGAGGCTCATGTACCAGTAACTCTAACATAGAGTAGCATACGGTATGTGATACAACAGTAATGCGATTAACAATGTGCTGTCCCAGACATGCTGTCATCCTCAGGGCAACTCAGTCAATAGGACAGGTATTAAAACCTCCTTTTAGCGATGAGGAGACTTAAGCGACTAGTCCAAGTTTGCATGATTGGTAAGTAATAAATTCAAGATTTAATCCCAGTGCTCTCCCACCATATCCCTGCACCCCTGATAGGTTACTTCGATAAGAGATATTGGGGGAATGTTATGACAGCATAGAACAGGGATTAAAAATAATTCGGGGTGGGGCACCTGGGTGGCTCAGTCGTTAAGCGTCTGCCTTCGGCTCAGGTCGTGATCCCAGGGTCCTGGGATCAAGCCCCACATCAGGCTCCCTGCTTGGCAGGAAGCCTGCTTCTCCCTCTCCCGCTCCCCCTGCTTATGTTCCTACTCTCGCTGTCTCTCTCTCTGTCAAATAAATAAAATATTTTTAAAAAATTAAAAAAATAATTAATTCGGGGTAAAAAGAGTGGGTCATAAATGCTTCCTAGGAAGGTGGCATTTAGGGTCGGCCATGAGTGTGTCAGATTTTAACAGACATTCATGGGAGTGGGGCAGGCATTCCAGGCTATGGGAACAATCAGCAAAAATAAAGAGGCAAAATAAAATAGTAGAGATATGGGGAATAGCTCGTGGTACATTCTGACTAATGTGTAAGACTGGGAGTTAGCATTGATTGATGAGGGCAGGGAAGTAGCAGAAGACAAGCTTGAAATTAGGTCAGGTAGCAAATCAGAGAGGACTTCCAGTGCCATATTAAAGAGCAAAGGCTTTATTTCCAGGCAATGGAGAGCTCTGAAGGCTAGAAATGATATCATCAGAGCTATTATTTAGGCAATTTAATTTGGAACCAGCGTAGAGGAACCACTTATGTAATTGTTCAAGCAATGGGCCCTTGCTATGTGCCAGGCACAGTGAGTGCTAGGTGCTGAGGATAGAGAAATGACCTACACAACAGTCTATGTCCTAAAGAACTTCAAGTCAGGTCAGATGGATTGGAAGGAGAGACTGGAGCCTGGGAGCTCGGCTGGAAAGCAGATCTGGTTGACTCCACCTTCAGAATACAAATCCCCCACCATCACCCCCCCCCATCAGTTCTCACATGGCCTGTTAGAGAGGCCCCTGGTCCTCCCTGGTCCGTCCTGCAGGAGCCACATAGCACAGGTCTCAGTCCTGCTCTAGCCGCCCATCCTGCTGAGTGGCAACTCTAGAGTCTATCACGGCTGACTGGCCTCGAGCAGGATATGACCCCGACTTCTTTTCTCACCTCCTGTCCTCCCACTGGCCCCTCGGTCTCCTGTTCCAGCAACACTGGCCTCCTTGCTATTCCTTCAGCACATCACATACAGTTGCATCTCAGGGCTTTTGTATCTGCTGTTCCCGCTGCCTGGAAGGTTCTTCCCCTAGTCTTCCAAATGGCTCCATCTCTTCATCCCGGAGAGGTTTTCCCTGACCGCCTGGTGCAAAAAGCCCTCCACCCCTCACCCTGAATTATTGTTCTTTTTTTTTTAAGATTATATTTATTTATTTGATAGAGAGAGACACAGCGAGAGAGGGAACACAAGCAGGGGGAGTGGGAGAGGGAGAAGCAGGCCTCCCGCGGAGCAGGGAGCCCGATGCGGGGCTCGATCCCAGGACCCTGGGATCATGACTTGAGCCGAAGGCAGACGCTTAACGACTGAGCCACCCAGGCACCCCTGCATTATTGTTCTTTAAGAAAGTCTCAGACATATTATATATTTGTTTTCTGGCTCCCTCATTAGAATAGGCATTTAATAAAGCTAGATATTTTATTCTACTTTATTGTATCCAGTGATATATCACCACAGCCCATCACAGTGCCTAGCTGAGTAGGTTCCCAACAGTTATTGGATGGATGGATGGATGGATGGATGGATGGATGGATGGATGGATGGATGAAGCTATTGTGATAGTCCAGACAAACTCAGACTAAACCAGTAGAAATGAAAAGAGGATGAATCCAAGAGATATCAAGAGATTTTATGCCACCTGGTCTTCTCTGACTGTCCCTTTCCTAGGAAACTAAGTGGGGGGAGAGGAGGGGGGCAGCTAGTGAGTGGTCTTTTCAAGCCTAGCTTGGTTATACAGGAAGCTGCAGAAGATGAATGGTTTTCTCAGCCTTTCTCCAGTGAGGTCTCCCTCCTCTGTCTCCTCATGGGTCTCTGGGCCTTTTTTGTTCCCCTCTGGCTGAGTACTGGTGGTGTTGGGTACCTGCTTGGAAACCATTTATAATTCAGTTATTGAGCATTTGTCATGTGCCAAACATAACAGGAACAGAGAATACAGAGAGACGGGGAGATAGGGAGAGAAAGAGACAAGGAGAGACCCTAGATTAAACCTAGCTAGGGTGGAAAGGCAGACAAATTATACCGTTTGCCTAAAATGGGGTTTAAGTGCTACTACACAGAGGGAAGCCCAATGGAAAGGCCCCTCATCCAGGGAGAGGTGGTTAGGGAAATATTCCCAGAGGAGGTGACACTTCAAAGTGAGGAAGCATTAGCCAAGCAAAGAAGAATCGGAAAGGCATTCCAGGTGAGGAGAACAGCATTGACGAAGGTCTAAGAGGCATGCGATAGACTAGAACAGAACCACGGGGTCTCACTATTCTAAGAGCAGAAAGTGTGAGTTAGAGTATTCACCAGGGTTCATTTTAGGAGTAGCAGGAATGTGATGAGGGGGTTCACTCAGAAAACACGCACCTGTCCCCTAGCAGTCCTCGCTTGCCTCCAGTTTCCTGAACACATACCCCTCCCTGTGATGGGATCTAATCCAGCCACTCCTCCAGGGCCGAGTGCAGAGGGGGAAAGCAAGGCGGGTTGCCCTAGCCCAGGGAGGAGAGGACACCTTTGCTCTGGGGAGAAGGCTGGGGTACTGACCCTCCTCCCCTGTTAACCCATCTCCAGCTGCCACCTAAGGGGAAGCTTCGGAGCCTGTGTAGCCAGCACGTGGAAAAGCTGCAAACCTTCCAGCATCTCCACCCCATCGTGGTCCAAGCTGCTTTCCCTCCACTCTACAAGGAACTCTTCAGCACTGAAATTGAGTCACCCGAAGGGCTGTCTGAGTGACCTGGAGGAGGGACTCCTTTCCCTTCCCTAGAGCCTACTGGCCCTTCTCCCTGGATCTCCCCCCACCTTCACATTTTTCTTACCTGTGCCCCCTGGAGGGTGATCCCTGCCTGTTCGTTGGGGGTGAGCAATTGCTGAGACTGGTTTTCTGCCCACAGGCTTGCCTGGCAGTGGGCCAAGAGCCAGAGGGTGGCGATGAAGGAACACCATCTCCAGTCTCAGCTTTGTTGTGTCTCCTTTCCCATGACTCTTCACCCCCAGCTTCTGAGAGGCCTCGGGTGGCACATAAGGACCTCTAGGAGGACCATGGTGTCCTCAGGACACCAGGGGGATCCAGGACACCCTGGATGAACAGAACTCAACTCTGGGCTCAGAAGCTAAGAATAGGACTTTAAAATACCTCATTGCATCTCCCCATGGGCTTTGGCTGGGGAGATGTGTCAAGCTCAGAGACTGATGGCTGGAGCCCAGAAGGACCTGTATATAACATAAATCCAGATCTTTAGATCTTTAGATTTTCTGCTTCTCCCTCCCCCACTGCTAGAAGTGGTTGGGTACCCTGCCCTTTTCCCAGGATCTAAAAAAAACTGGATATGTGGAAGATAAGGATGGGGTGGGGGTAAGGGGCTGGGATAATTTTTTATGGGATTTGGGTACAGGGATAGGGTACAATGGAGGCCAAGAACATTACAGATAGAACTCAAACCTCTTATGTGCACTTTAGAAATAGACTTTAGGGGTCAGCACAAATCTGATGAGAGACACACATCCACGTACAGGTGAAACACACACTCACAAACTCAAACTGCAATTATGCACCTCTGTAAACACATTTAATCTGACACAATTTCTGTCTTCCTTGAGGTCACAGCTCAGAGGTGCTTAGTGGCCTCAGGGAAAGAGTCCCAATCCTGAGGGACCCCAGAACATCTTCATGGTGTGCCAGTCCACCAACCTTAGACCTGGGGTGGCCCAAACTCAATCCCAGCCCCAGCTGTCTTCTCACATAAGAAACCCCAAAAGAAGAAGAGATGGCTGGACACTGGTCAGTCAGACAGACCCTTGGAAGAGTCCTCCTGTCATCGTGCAGAAAGGAAATGGACACAATTTCACCCCAACTCTAGCAGGGAGGAGACCAGGACACAGGACAGACACCTGTTTCTCTGGCTGTGCTCATGCCCCAGGACTTCTCTTGGCTTTACAAATCACCGTGAGCCCTCCTCTGAGGGATAAACGGCCGGTGATGTGAGGGTGCTGTGTTCCTCTCGGGGGAGGGGTTTAATTGGCTAAACATAAACCCCAACTTGTGCTATTCTTCATAAAATGATTTTAAAGGCCAGAGGTATGTGTGGCAGGGGCAGGGGTGGGGGTTCTTAAATCACATTACAGACAAGCTGCTCTCCTGTCTCATTCCCGTGTGGAGACCCAGGTTTCTAGGCCAGCAACCCATGAGTATCATAAGGATTGCAGCCCCCACTCTGAGCAGCCCCCCAGGGAGGCTGGGGAGCTGCTCCTCAGGAACCCCCACCAAAGGAGTCTCGAACTAAGCTCCACAGCAGATGTTCTGGACTGAGAACTTTCCCCACAAAATGATACCCATGGGGGACATTTAGTGAGAGGCTGCAAAGAATCTCCCTGCATCTGGGAGACTAACAAGACATCCCTGAGGGAGGTGCTTGGCCCCAGAGCTCCCCAGCGGGGAGTCAGGATGTCCACAAGAGACCCTTTTGGGCTGCTGGCCGCCTCTCCCTCCTGAGCCCTCCTGCACCCCCAAGTCTCCCTCTGCGCTCCCTCCCCCCGCCATCCTGTGAGGCGCTTGCTGCAGCCCTCCCTGGTGGCTTTATTTATTTATTTTGCACCAACAGGGTTGCTGCAGACTCATTCTCGCCTGGTTTAAAAAGAGAGAGAGGAAAAAAAAAAAAAGGAGAAATGCTTTCTGGCTCTTTTCTCTACCTCGGTCTTGGCAGCAGCGGCCACAGTGGGCGGGGGCGGCGGGGAGTGAGGCACGCCGGGAGGTACAGCCCCCCCCCGCCCCACCCCGGGGTGCAGCCTCAGCGGGACGGTCCCCAGCCCTGGACAGATGCAGTGTCCAACCTGATGCCGCCCTCCAGCTTCTCCGGTAAGCGACCCCACCTCCTGTCCTGAGGCTGCAGCTGCCCTTCTCTGTAACATTCTCAAAGACAAGGCCAGACTGGCGGGCCTGTCAGGCTAGAGGGTCTGTGCCCCCCTTGTCCCTCCCCGCCAGCTGCCCCCGCCCCCACCGCTCCCAGCCAGCCATTGATCCTGGCCCCATCGGACTTGGATGGGAAAACTAAAATGTCCCAGAGGCCCCTGTGGGGAAGGACTCTAAGGAGACCTCTACCATCTCCCCAGTGCTTCCTCTACCTCTGGGAAGGGTTTTTCCACATTTCAGTGTGGAAATTCCAGAAATCTCCCCCCCCCCAACAGCCCTCTCCCCACGCAGGTCCCCATGCCTCCGTCGGGTCTGCTTAAAAAGGGATATCCAGGTTCAGATGTGTCTCTGGACTACCACATAGACACAAGAAGAAGAAAGCTTCCTGTTCCTTGAAGAGATGATGCCCCAGACCCCACCCCATTTAAAGAAAGAAGTGGTTCTGACACCCATTTCTTCCTGCAAAAGTGGCTAGAAGCCAGTCCCGTAGCCATGGAGACTGGCAAGGGAAGTTTGTGATTAAATTAGCCACCTTATAAATAAAGAAAAGGGGTTGTCCCCAGATCCCCCAGCCCTTGGCCCAGCAGGCTTTGGGGACTAAGAGGAAACTCACGGGAATGGGAGGAAGGGAAGCTGGGTTACATGCTTCACTGCACTTTTGCTGAATGCAGAGCAAAAAGGATGAGCAGGAACTGCAGCGGTAGTGATCGAGAGCTAGCTGTCAGGTGGACTTTCCAGAACAGGCACAGGGAGAATGAGGGGGACTGGGACACGTCTGTCCCAGAACTCTCAACAAGCCAGAGAGACCTGCTAGGTTGGGCTGGGGACAAGAGGAGCCTTGGCCTGCCCCGTGCTATTATCTCTCACCCCAAGCCTGGGGACAGTGTCCTGCATCCCTCTGCCTCTCTGATCTTCAGTTTCCCACTACCACAGCAGGAGAGCCGCCAGAAGAGCCCATCTAAAGGAGGGCTGCAGAGCCTCATTCCAATCAGGATCCAGGGATGTGATCCCCCTGAATGGGAAGAAGTCTTAAACTGCCTCTCCTAAGTTCCACATGGGAGAAAATCGGGCGTGTGGGAGAAAGCTGACCCTTCAGGGCCCAGACAGCCTGAAGCCCCAAAGGCCATCTGGATCTGCAGCTAGAAAGAAACCCGGGCAGCCTGCCTCCCAGGGAGCACCACTTGTCTCTCATCCCATCTCTTTAGCCCTCCCTTGCCAATTCCAATACCTCCCCTCCCTTGTTCAATGTCCTGTTGACACTGAACAGAGTTGAGGGTGAGTTCACCAACTACCAGGGCCCTTCTCCTCTAGCACCGCAGTCAGTCCCCGATGGCCATTCTACTCACCATCATCCTGATTCTGCCCAGGCCCTGGCTTCCCAGAAACCCACTTGCAGTCTACAGGCTATGTACATGGCCTCCCCCAGAGATCGCTGTGCCAGCCTAGGGCTCGCACGCTCCCCACCCACAGCACCAGGCCAGGTGGTGTCTCTCACTTGTCTATGCCTCCCTGGCTCACAGTCTGTCTCTTGTGTATCACTCAGACAGCTGAGCCCAAAGGGAACTAGAGAGCTCCCTCAGATTCACACATTGGACTAAATCAAAACACCATCGAGGAGGAACAGAAGAGAAGCCTGAGACTAAGGACCAAGCAACAAAACTCAAAACTTGGGCATCCCTTGGGTCCCTCATACACCCCAGTGTCATCTATAGGGGTCGCCCCTAGGGTTCTTGTGAGGGATTTAAGTGCCCCCTGCATCTGTGCTGTGGCTGAGGTGCAGCTTGGCTGTTGTCCACACAGGCATTTTGGGGAGATTGGATCTTGCTACTTCAGGGCCCCAGGCCCTGAGCCAGGCTGCAGAAGGGCAGAGGGGCAATAAGTACAGCCTGGGGGAGCAGAGCTGAGCATGTTTCCCTTGGAGGACTCAGTCAAGGTGAGGACCTCGCTCCAATCAGACTCCAAGGATGTGATTCCCTCTGAGCCTTAGACAAAGCTATGGGCAGATAATACGGGAGAACAAGGGTCGGCAGAGAGGGGGAGGACAGAGCTTGGGGAGAACAAGTATCAGGGAGAAGGGACCGGAGGTATTTCTGGATCTCACAGATACAGGAAAAACGCATTACAGGAACACTCAAAATTACTTCCTTGCTTCCTATCCCATACACAGAGAACTTTGCCCACTGAAGTCAGACTTAACTAGGGTTCCATGAGCCAGTAAGCACTTGGCCTATTACCCAGGCTGGGGGCAGGAGGAAAGTTGAGATTCCCCAAAGAGGCGGCCCAGGAGGCCCCCAAGGAGGTGGTCCACCAGAGTTGCTCCCAGTCTGCACCATCCTCACTGGCAATGCCAAGACAGATAGCTCAATCTCTCTCTCCTCTAAGGCCCGGGGAAGTCCAGGGTCACCATCATCTGAAGTCACTTTCCAAAAAGGACCATGTCATCATCTATTCCAGGACTGAAGAGGGGATGGCTATGGCCACAGCTCCAAAGCGAGCCTGGCCCCCATGGCCCCCTCTCCTGTTCCTGCTCCTCCTACCTGGAGGGAGCTGTGGCGGGTGCCCTGCTGTCTGTGACTGCACCTCCCAGCCCCAGGCAGTGCTCTGTGCCCATCGGCGACTGGAGGCTGTGCCTGGGGGACTCCCACTGGACACTGAGCTCCTAGACCTGAGTGGGAATCGCCTGTGGGGGCTTCAGCGGGGCATGCTTTCCCGCCTGGGCCTGCTTCGGGAGCTGGACCTCAGCTACAACCAGCTGTCCACCCTGGAGCCTGGAGCCTTCCACGGCCTCCAAAGCCTACTCACCCTGAGGCTGCAGGGCAATCGGCTGCGAATCATGGGGCCTGGGGTCTTCTCGGGCCTGTCTGCCCTCAGGCTGCTGGACCTCCGCCTCAACCAGATTGTCCTGTTCCTTGACGGAGCATTTGGGGAGCTGGGCAGCCTCCAGCAGCTGGAGGTGGGGGACAACCACCTGGTGTTTGTGGCTCCAGGGGCCTTTGCAGGGCTGGCCAAGCTGAGCACCTTCACGCTGGAGCGCTGCAACCTCAGCACAGTGCCTGGCCTGGCCCTGGCCCGCCTCCCGGCACTGGTGGCCCTAAGGCTTCGAGAACTGGATATCGGGAGGCTGCCAGCTGGGGCACTCCGGGGGCTGGGGCAGCTAAAGGAGCTGGAGATCCACCACTGGCCATCTCTGGAGGCTCTGGAGCCTGGGAGCCTGGTTGGGCTCAATCTCAGCAGCCTGGCCATCACCCGCTGCAATCTGAGCTCGGTGCCCTTCCAGGCGCTCCGCCACCTGAGGTTCCTCAGGGTCCTGGATCTGTCTCAGAACCCCATCTCAGCCATCCCAGCCCGAAGGCTCAGTCCTCTGGTGCGGCTCCAGGAGCTGCGACTGTCAGGCGCAGGCCTCACCTCCATCGCCGCCCACGCCTTCCACGGCCTGACAGCTTTCCACCTCCTAGACGTGGCAGACAATGCCCTGCAGACTCTAGAGGAAACGGCATTTCCTTCTCCGGACAAACTCGTCACCCTGAGGCTGTCTGGCAACCCCCTGACCTGTGACTGCCGCCTTCTCTGGCTGTTCCAGCGCCGTGGCCACCTGGACTTCGGCTCATCGCCCCCCGCCTGTGCCGGCCCCCGGCCCGTGCAGGGCAAGAGCCTGAAGGAGTTTTCAGACATCCTACCTCCTGGGCACTTCACTTGCCAGCCGGCCCTGATCCGGAAGTCTGGGCCGCGGTGGGTCATTGCAGAGCAGGGGGGGCATGCTGTTTTCTCCTGCTCTGGAGACGGGGACCCAGCCCCGACTGTCTCCTGGATGAGGCCTCAGGGGGCTTGGCTGGGAAGGGCTGGGAGAGTGAGGGTCCTAGAGGATGGGACGCTGGAGATCCGCTCAGTGCAGCTACAGGACAGAGGGGCCTATGTCTGTGTGGTCAGCAATGTTGCTGGGAATGACTCCCTGAGGACCTGGCTAGAAGTAATCCAAGTTGAACCACCAAACGGCACTCTCTCTGACCCCAATATCACCATGCCAGGGATCCCAGGGCCCTTCTTCCTGGACAGCAGAGGTGTTGCTATGGTGCTGGCAGTTGGCTTCCTCCCCTTCCTCACCTCAGTGACCCTCTGCTTTGGCCTCATTGCCCTCTGGAGCAAGGGCAAAGGCCGGGTCAAACATCACATGACCTTTGACTTTGTGGCACCTCGGCCCTCTGGGGATAAGAACTCTGGGGGTAACCGGGTCACTGCCAAGCTCTTCTGACCTTTACTTCCATGTTGGAATTCCAGCCAAGCCAGCTTCAGATACCAAAAGAGAAGAAAGAAAACCAAGGCTGCTTGGACCAGAACCTAGTTCCACACCTGCCCGCATCGTGCCAGCAGCTAATGATGCCTCCCGATGGTCTGCCTCCCCCTGCTTTTCAGTTTGAGGGTCCCAGGGGGCAGGAGATGTACATCCATAGTCAGCCCAGCCCTATCCACCCATCCCCCTGACACAAAGAAGGAAACAGCCCCAAGACTCCAGTCTACTTGTTCGCACACACACCCTTTAACAATCACTACCGACTGCCAACCACAGTTATAAGATTATTGCAGAGGTGGGGCACCTGGGTGGCTCAGTCATTAAGCGTCTGCCCAGGGTCCTGGGATCGAGCCCCGCATCGGGCTCCCTGCTCGGCGGGAAGCCTGCTTCTCCCTCTCCCACTCCCCCTGCTTGTGTTCCCTCTCTCGCTGTGTTTCTCTCTGTCAGATACATAAATAAAATCTTTAAAAAAAAAAAACAATTATTGCAGAGATGAGGCTGGGAAGTGCTGCTTGCTTCTCAAGAGTTTCTGCTCCTCAACCAGGCAGTGTCCCTCTTTTTTCTGCTCTGTCCCCTCCCAGGCACAAGGAACTAGGGCCAAGGACCTCAGGCTAAGAAGATGTGAGTGTGCAATGGGGGAGGAGGGACAGACTACACATTGGTGCTGTGTCTGCATGAGCCTCCAATACGTGCCCCATCTGTCACATCATTAAACTTGTTGCCAAATGGCCATGACAGTAGCAGCCTAAACGAAGTGTGATATTGGGAGTTTTGTTTATTTCACTTTCTCCCCCTTCATTGCTAGCAAATTTCTCCCTCCCTATCCTTTCTGCCTGCCCACTGAGCATGTATCCTAATGGGCTTGCCTGACATACAGGTTTGACACAGAAGGAGGCCCAGAGATGTTCTGGAGAGACTCCCAGTCTGTTTCAGTTTCAGCCCTTTCCCTGTCCTCTGCATCTCTGCAGCTGGAGAAGGAGAGGTCCTTCACCTTCCAAGAGGACCCACTGCAGAAATCCCAGCCTAGGACACCCAGCTCCTTCCTTTCTTTCTCACTCTTGTTGGGATCTCCTAATCATGATCTCCCAATCACACAGATCCCTAGTGCTCTGGAGGAAAAGTATGAAGGGAACTCCTAGAAAATGCCTAATGAAAGCAAGACTCTGCAGTTGCCTAGGAGAGAGTCCCAGAACCTGGCAGGACCAGGCTTGGAGGAAACAGGCAGGAAGGGGCCCCACACACTGTAGTGAAAAGCGGGAGGGAAGAGGGGCAGCAGATCTGGCTGCCTAGTTAATTTCCACTCCATTTCTGCTGGTGCCCCTTGTTCCCTGTTTGGTGCAGTCCAGTAGGAAGCTGTCTCTGGATAGAGGTCACTGCCGAACAGAGACCCCAGGTACAGAGGCGGGGTGGGAGGAGATGCTGACTGCCTCTGAGTGTGCTTCAAATAGAAGGCAAGGCAGAGCCAAGGCAGAGCCAGAGAAAAGGAGAGATTTGAGAGGCAGTAGCTTCAGCATCATCCAAAAGGGAGGAGGGAAGGGAGAGGAGGGGCAGGGAGGAGGGACTGAGAAGTGGGGAGTCACGCGGCCCTGGAAAGCCTCTCTGCAGCAGCATCTGCTCAGTGTCCTTAGCTCTCCTCTGCCCTCAAGAGCCCCCAACCATCCCTCAATAAGCAAGCATCATGAGCTTCCTAGCGATTCCTGCTGCTCATGTCCTTGCTTTGAGAAGACTCCACTCGTTAGAAGATTCCCTGCTCAAACTGTCCCTGACAGGGGAGAGGAGCAGGTGCCCTCCAGGAGGCAGTCAGACTTGACCAGCAGGGTCAGTGGGGCCCAGTGAGGATATGGGAGTGGACCAGAGGTGAGAACCCAGCAGGTTGGAGAGTGAGGCTGGAAAACCCAACAATCTTGAGAAAACAGTATCCCTGCGCTTCCACCCCCACCCCCACCACCCCCACACAATTCTCTTACATCCTGGCAACCTCCCCTCTCCAGTTTATAAGGCACCAGAAAGGTTTCGTTGGCACAGCCCTTTCTTCTCCAAGATCTTCTACCCGCAGCTTACTAGGTTAGGACTTGAAGTTCTAGTACTAGAGGTTCTTACTCTAGTTGCCCACTCTGCAATGCAGGAGAGGGCGGAAGCAGCATTGGTGTGCAGACAAATCTCTGGGGAGCCCCCAGAGGCAGTGGGGGACAGATGATGTGCCCTAGAGCAGGAGATGCTGCTGCCCGAGTCCCAGAGTCTCTAGAGCAACACTGTCCAATAGCAATAGAATGTGAGTGACCCACGTAATTTCAAATGTTCTAGTATTATGTTTAAAAAGCAAAAGACCCAGATACAATTACATTTTGATACTATATTTTATTTAACCCAGGGTACCCAAACTATTATCATTTCAGCATGTTATCAGTATGAAAATTAGTAATGAAATATTTTACATTATTTTTTCACATTACATGTTTGAAATCCAGTGTATAGCTTACACTTATAGCGCATTTCAGTTCAATCACTAAATTTTCCCCAGAAAGATCAGAGCTGTTCTTAGGTTTCATAAAATTCATTGTTGAGGGGCACCTGGGTGGCTCAGTCGTTAAGCGTCTACCTTCGGTTCAGGTCATGATCCCAGGGTCCTGGGATCGAGCCCCGCATCGGGCTCCCTGCTCGGCAGGAAGCCTACTTCTCCCTCTCTCACTCCCCCTGCTTGTGTTCCCTCTCTCGCTGTCTCTCTATCAAATAAATAAATAAAATCTTTTAAAAGTAAATAAATAAAATTCATTGTTGAAAAAGTAGATTCACACATCTACGTTGTTCCAAATATATTACAAGTTTTCCAATAACTAAATCAAGTATCAGTTTTAACATTTAAATTAACTTAATTAAACTGAAATAAACTTAAAAAACTCCATTCCTCAGTAATGCTAGCCATCTCTCAAGTGCTCAAAAGCCACATGTGGCCAGTGCCCCTCTACTGGACAGCACAGCTGCAGACATTCCACCTCTCGGCATGGACAAGGGCCTTCTTGACGGGGGGGGGGGGGAGGGGGGGAAGGAGCCCTTGAGAAGCATATTCACCCTGGGGAAAATGCCTGTGGAGCTACCGCCCACTACCACCCCTTATTTTCCTTACACAGTTTTTCCTAAAGCCCTTTGATGTGACAAGGTCACTGTGATGAGCACTTCCACAGCTTGTCCAATCATCAGCAAGCAGTTCCTTATCTTACCTGCCTGGGAACCCTCAGCCCAGGTGCGACTGTACAGGCTGGGAGTGTGTGCGCGTGTGTGTGTGTATGTGTGTGTGTAGTAGCATGTAAATGCAACCAGGGACACGTGCTGGTGGTGTGTGTGTCAAGTAGCATGTAAATGCAACCAGGAACCCTCAGCCCAGGTGCGACTATACAGGCTGGGTGTGTGTGTGTGTGTGTGTGTGTGTGTCAAGTAAGCCCAGGTGCGACTGTACAGGCTGGGTGTGTGTGTGTGTGTGTGTGTCAAGTAAGCCCAGGTGCGACTGTACAGGCTGTGTGTGTGTGTGTGTGTGTGTGTGTGTGTCAAGTAGCATGTAAATGCAACCAGGAACACGTGCATTGTGGTGTGTGCGCATGTGCAGGGATGTTACAGTCCCCATGGTGGGGGCAACCCAATAAAGGCTCTCCCCAGGGTCAAACAGATGGAGGAATTTGCTCGAGGACACACAGCTAGTTAGTGAGGGATCTGTTTTTGAACTCAGGGCTGTCGGACTCAAAACCCAAATGCTTTCCACCAGGTGTGCTGTTTTAGTCATTGCCTGCTCTTTTGACACATCCCCAGGGCCTCTCTGCTGAAGGGCCTTACCCAGGTCCTCTTCTACCCCACCACTCAGAACAAGTCTCTTAGGGGGATGAGGCCAGCTGTTGGTCCTCCCCTGCCTTCAGGAACTAAGGTACCTGACTTAGGAAGCTGAGGGTTGTTTGGTTGGTTGTTACCCTTTCTCAGTTTCCTCTCCAAATGTCCTCTCTGCCTCTGCCCCAGAGACTGGCAGAAAGGGACAGAAATTCCATGGATCAGGTGGACTGAACTGAAACCCTGGATGCCAGCAACAGAGTCTCTCACATTTTGGAGGCTTCAGATTTCCTGGGTCCTTTTCTGGGTTCTAACTTCAACAACCTCTTAGGTTATCTTAGGTTGCTTGGGAATTTCTAGTGTGGCAGAACAATCTATGAGCTATTTCAGATCAAGAAGAATTTGCCTACCTTCTGCCTACCCCTGCTTGACAGAGCCTTCCTGAGGTTACCTCAACCTCCCCTCCCTCCAGCCTCCTCTCTTCCATTTCAGACATGGTCTCACCTAAGCTGAGAGAAGCTTGGACCCCAAGATACTCGGGAAGCATTTGGGCACTCCCCATTTTGGTCCCTGATATATTCCAATTTCTCTATTTCCTTTGCTATGCTGGATCCCTGATTCAAGGATGCAAGCCCTGCAAGGCAATGATCCACAGCTTTTTGGAGTCACAGACCCCTCTGAGAATGCCTGGAGTGAGCTATGAACAAAAATGCTCAGATTGTCCTCAGTCACCCTGAAACCATCACAGGCTCCATGGAATGCCGGTGAAGAAGCTCTGCCATGAGAAGCAGCAGGTGGGGGTTTGGAGGTGGGGAAGGCTGAGGACGGGCCTGCCTGTACTCTCCCGGGTCCATCATAGGCACGGGGAAAAGGCTGGGAAGGACTATAGGACAGAGTGGATGTTAGCACAGATCAGAGCAGCCCTCCCCGCCCCTGTTCCCCTCCTCCTACCAGCTTCTATCTCTCAGGGGGAGGCAGGAGACTTCGGGGTGGGGAGGGACTTTTGCTCAAAGAAGTGAGTGTGGTGGTGATTCAGGATGGAGAGCATTTGATACCAGAGACTCCTGAGTCCTCTTCCTCCAAACTGCTCTGTAAGGAGAATTAAGGAGGAAGACACAGAGCTGAGTGGTGGAGGCCAGAGAAGCAGAGGACACCCGCCACAATCCATCAATCTGATCTAAAGACTAAAGAGCAACACAACATAGTTGCTGATACTAAGGCCCACCCTCTGGATTGCTGGTTTCAGATGCAGAGGCTTAAGTCATGGGGGAGGAAGGGGTAACCCCTTCAACAGACAAAGGGAGAAATGAGTGCTGTTTTCTAAAAACCCAGATGGTTGAATACTGTTTGCCTGGATTGTTTGCCTGTTGTCCAAGAAGGGCACTCTGTGAGCAGCAAGGGCTCTGGAACCCCTACTTGCCCAGCCCTCTAGCTAAAGTCCACTCTCCTGCTTGGCTTATTGAATGGAAACACCTGCTCACTGAATGCTCTGGAAAACCCAGACCTTACGTTAACTGGTACCACCTACTCCT